ACCTGCCTTTCCTCATGTTTTCTCCCTAAACTCAGAACTCCCTCCTCTACCCCAGCTCTGGAAGTGTGGATCTGAGGAGGGCACCAGCCCGAGGGCTTTTTATCATTGTGGGTCTCTCACTCCCTCCCTTGGCCCACATGGTTTATGTGAACCTCACCTCCTTAGGTTCAAGATGAGCAGATGGCCTCAGCCTGGCCAAGGAAGGCAATCCAAGTGCCTTGTCACTCTTAGGGGATCATGGAACTGTTTTAGGTTGTCTTAAAATTTTAAGGAAAAAAACTATCTTTTAGGGTCAAAGATTATATATTTGTGTTTATAACAATGAAGTTGTAAAACTGATCTTTTATTATGCTATATTGTATATAGAGGTTGCAAAAAATGTACATGCATTTTAAGAAAGGAAAAACTATTAAAATAATAATATTCAATATATACTCATCAGAAAAGATGAATACAAGTCACTTTGAGCACCTCTTGTAATTGCAGAAGTCAAATGTGACTTATTACAAATTCAGTAGTTTTTTCCTTTTTAAAAATGTGTATTCATTTTTTGGTACCCTCTGTATTTAAAAAAATTTTCTGCATATTATGTTTTGAATTCTTAAAGAAGTCTTTCTAGCTGGACAGAGACTGCCCTTCCAAGGCTAACCTTCTTAGAGTTGAAAAGGTCTGGCCCAAGAATGCCTCTCACAGAAACTACCCCACCTAGAGCCAAAACTCCTCTCTCTGGGCCTGACACCTCAGAGGGTGACACACATCTGCCCTAGTCACCCAAGGGCCACAAATCAGGCACCTACACATAGCCTCCATACCCCAGAGCCCACTGGAATTATTTGGACTTGCCATGCCTAAACCTTTCACCCTGTCTGCCTTGCCCTCCAATGTTAACTCTGATATCTTTCCAGTGATGGGAGACGTATCTTTCTATCCTGGTATGCCACAGCCTCTACACTCGTTTCTGGGGCCAGGTAGGCTCTAGATGGTCATTGTGGGGAGCTAGGATCTGGAGATAAAAGACACTTGGGAAGTATGGCTTCTGGGCATGTCTGCTAGCTGGCAAAAATGCAACTAGCAATCTTAGAAAATTGGGGATTTTTCCGTTAGATTTCAGAAAGACACACAGATGAATAATTCCTATGTCAACAATTTTTTTTAAGGGTGGTGATGTGTAATACATAGGGTGACAGGTAGATCATGGTGGGAGCAGATCAGCATTGCCAAGTCCTGGCATGTGTAGAGAATGATCATTAGCACAGCTGAGAAGTCCTGAAGTGACAAGAAGCAATCAAGCCTTGTATTTTTTTCTCCTTCACAAACTGGTATAAAAATATTAAAAGTAAAAATATTTCCAAAAATATATATAGTGGGACTTGAGGAGGGCCAAGCAGCCCACTAACTGCAAGATGGAGCGGGTGGGAAAGCTTTGTGTTTCTGTATTACAGAAAGGAAGCAGAGCAGTGGAGGCCAC